TTCCAATTCAATCTTCGGCTTGACCTTTCGTCGAACACTTCGATGATCGTTGTCTACGTTAAATTATATTTCATTGCTTCAGAAAGAACCAGTCTGTCAATCCTCTCTCTCTCTCTCTCTCTGTCTCGATACACAATACACACACTTTTGTGTTTTTTATCTTTCTTCTTACTGTCAACTTCTTAAAATTTATACTCTCTTCCGTTTTGATTTTGTGTGTGCTGCTTCTTTCTAAATAGGATTCATTCTTCTTTTCATACTGACTTCGCTTATTCTCCCGGGTCTCCTAAACTACGTAATTTTCACATTCTGCTGTTCTTATTAGATATATCCTCGGTTGTGTTGATAATGATGATGATAATACTAATGAATCTGATGTTCTGTCAGTTTATTGGTATTATTATAATTATGCCTATTGATAGTTTGAGTTATCTCAATGTAAAGGACCCATTTGATAACAACTTGGTTCCTCTCCACTACTAGACTCTTTCTATCACCCACCATGAAGTTAAATGGGACTCTTTATGTACGAACGGGCTTCTTACTATCGTATAGTGTGGAATTGAGGAAATTAAGGGAATCTAGTATGGGAGAGGTGCTAGTTCATTTGTGGCAATAACTATCCATGAAATTTTTTCTAGTTCATTTTGTCTTGGACCTATGTTTCTATGTTCTAACTAGTTCTTTCTCCATTGATTAGTGAGAAAGGAAATATATTGATGGCTAGCATTCAATGTNATTTTTTTTTTTTTGAACAGCAACATAGATGAAGAGGTAGATCATGTGGGGTAAACTGTAAAATAGCAATCAAATCAAGTAGTGAAGACTCGATTCACGATGCTGAGTCGAGTCATCTAGAGCTCGATAAAAGAAGCAAGAGCCCAATTTTGATAAGACTAAGTTTCATTCAGAAACAACCTCAAATTAAGGGAATGCCTACAATCAAGAAATTTTGGTATAACAAATAAGTATAATCATCGGTTCGGAGCAAAAAGAGTATCTAGAGAGATTTCAACAATCCCTAGTAAACATTCTAGATTGATAGAAGATGTGTCACATTGCATCATCAATTAGAGAGTAATTTTTCCTGTATATACTTTTCACACACTTACAAATTTAAACACGAAAATATCTTCAATCAAAATATTTTGATACTAAATAGTTTGCTCGTTTTATAGGAAGAAAATAAGATTCTGGAATCATACTCATCAACTCGTGTAAAGTTGATCTGTTTTCATCATTTATAATATTTAATTAAAGTGCCACCTAGGATAAAATTTCTTGCTCGTCCTAGTTTGGTCTTTTCTTAAACCATTTAGAAATTTATCTCCCGTTTTCATCTGGGGCAAATCCATCGATAAACATTAAAAATACATAGGAAATATGTAGAATTTTAATTTTTAAACTATGTTAGCTATATGTTAGAAGTCTTAAACCACTGGGATCTGATTGTTTTAAGGAGAAAGATTAGAGGGTGAAAGTGTATTTTCATGAACATTTTATCCCCAAAGCCCAAACACGAACGCAAACTATTCGTTGACTGACAATGGCGGGCGAGAGAGAGATTCAACCCAGCACCGCCACCGATCACCACCGCCGACAACCACAACTACAACAAAAGCAAGAAGAAAAACGACACCGTTCAATCTTCGACCTACCATCTGACTTCTTCGATTCATGTCGTCTTCTTCACTCCCCATCTTCCATTTCTATAATCGAACCCTTCGATAACCTTCCTGTCAAAACCCTAGTTGAAGATGAAGACGAACAATCGAGCAGTATTACAAAGAATAATAATGTTAATTCTATGCAGAGATGGTCTTGTAATACGTGTAAGGCCGAGTTTGATTCTCTACAGGACCAACGCTCTCACTTCAAATCCGACATTCACCGATTCAATGTAAATCCATCTATCTTGCCACTGGCAGTTGTTATTTTCTTTTAATTGAAATTATTTTGTTGCAAATTGCTTTCAGGTGAATTTTATCATTCAACAAAGCTTCTTGTTTGGTCGATTGCTTTATTACTATTACTGGAACAAATAGCTGTGACTAGAATTCGTGTTTGTTTTGTTTATTATGATGAAATGTGCGGAACAAGTAGGTTCTCATCAAGCATTAGTAAGACCATATATGAAGTTTTCTATTTTAAATTATTCTTCCTGCACAACTATGGGAACAGAAACTTGGAAGTAGATGGGATTTGCTGTTTTCATTCAGTTTACTTTTTTGCGGTTTTTTCAATTATGTAAACCCTACTTACTGGTTTTCTATCTCGTGGGTTTTTTTTTGTTTTGTTTTGTGTTTCATCAAAGATACTACTTGGTAATGTGTTTTATGGAAAGGGTGTTGATTGAATTAGGATGTTGAATTCGAGTTATACTAAATCTGTATAAGTGGCACCTTATTATTCGTGCATTGATCATCATAACTCTCAGTACATTGCAATAAAGCAATTTGTGTCTGTTTTCTTACCGGGTGATGTTATCAGAATCATTGTTGTTCCTATATCATGCACTGTGGAATTATCTTTCACCGTTTGATTTCAGATAAAGCTGACTATTGCTGGAAAAGATACGATGAAGGAGGAAGATTTTGATGAGTTGACTTCTGATTCTTTATGCAAAGACTACGACATATCAAGCATATCAGGATCAGAAGAAGATGATGATGATAAGGAATCCAGTCTCCGCAATGATTTACATAGAGTATTGGGAGAAAGAGTTAGAAATAAAATATTTGTACATTTGCGGACAGGGGAGAGACTTTCAGTTTGGAAATGTTTAGTTCTCAATGAGTCGGAATATATTTCACTTGAGAATGATAGATCTGTGGCTGTGGATGATGGTGGTTACAAGCCTAGTTTGACAGAGAGGGAGGTAACTGAAAAATTGAAATATTTGATCCATGAACCTAGAGATAATACTCGTTTGCGGATTGTGTTGCTTGCAAGGGGTGGGCATTTTGCTGGCTGTGTCTTTGATGGGAACTCTGTTGTGGCTCATAAAACATTCCACAGGTCAGTTTCTATTTTTATTGTCTTCCATGTCAATAACTTGGTAAGAATTGAGCCTCTAATCTTCAAAGTTTCTTTCACTATCATGAAAATGTTGTAGCATCGTTATGGTTCCATGTAAGCATCTATACCCTTGCGGCCTTTCCTGAGTTGTCCATACCTGTTTAACCTCTCTTTCACAGGCTGAAGGAGGGGTCGATCATTTTCCCATGTATAGTCTAGGCCTTCAAAAACCCAAGTCTTTGAACTGACAATAATTTATGGCCATCTATATAGTTGCATTGGCAAGTTAGGTTGACTCAGGCCTCTCTTCTGACTAAGAGACAGTCTCCTTGAGTCTCTTATACCAACCATGGTGTTGATGAGTGCTGCTCAAGAGCTATCAACAAACTTTGGGAACCACTTCTCTTACCTGTTGCATATATCTCTGACTTCTGTTAGCATCATGCTCTTGTATGATGGCTTGGGCTTGATAATCAGACAAGCTCTGCAGAGAAACTCCTTCCTTGATTGTGAAAGACACATTGATATTTTGAGGCATTCTGACTCTTCATTTGATGCTTTCCATCTCTACAGTAGTTAACTTTGTCTCCATTAAGAAGACTGAACAGGGAATTCTCTTCTTACTAGATTTCAGAGGATGCCCCACCCCTTGACAGTTCCAGTTGAGGCACCTCATGGCAATGGGAGGGACTGGTTACCAGTCTCTGCAAATTGTACCATACATTAAACAGGATTGCCCCTGCAGCAGAAGGGCTCTTCTTGCTTTCTGGTGGCAAATTCTTGCACACATAGTTCGCTGCTGGATTCCCCCTCCACCACCTTACTTGAACACTTAAGGTTGGGAATCCTCACTGTGGTTTGAGTGACTCTCCCGCTTACTTATTCTCTACGTAACTTTGCCATTTAGGTTGTAAACCTGTAATTAGGGGCTGGAGGGAGTAAATTCAGATTCTTCGTCAGGGTTCCCTACAGATTAGGTTGAGGTGTTGGCAATTTCTGATGCATTTATTGTTGTTTCTTTGTCATCATGTCACTATTTTTTCTTATGCTACTACTGTTATCATCATAGTTACAATTATTTTTATTTTAACACGGGTCATGAAATATTATGATAATTGATATGGCTTACTTCGTGAAAAATCCAATTCACATGTGATTGGTTTAGTTTTGGTTGTCCACCATCAATGTCTTCAGTGGAATAGAGGAGACATGAGATGAAGCTTTGAAACTCTTGTTTGCTGTGTAGATATGTTGTACGGGCCAAGGCTGGTAAAAAACAGTCATCAAAAGATGGTAGCGGCAAGATTGCACATTCCGCCGGAGCTGCACTGCGTCGGTATAATGAGCTTGCTCTAAAAAAGGTAAGGGATGGATGATCATTGAGATTAAACAAACATCATAGTATACCACATCCATCATATTTTAGTTCATTTAACAAAAAATTACATTTATTGTATCACCCAAGGATTAGGACTCATTTGCTCTGTTTTTGTCCATGTCAATGATATGCTTTACAAATGTGGTAGCTAGCTTGGTGAAATCTTTAGGCGGTTGTACCACATAGTTTAATTTAGTTCAGCTTTTGTAGCATGCATAATACATATGACCCTGCCAAACCATGCTGTGGCGGGGGCTTCAGTGCACTGGAATGCGCTTTTTATGTTTTTGTGTGTTTGTATTGGGGGTTCTCCAGGACATTCATCACCTGTTGTTTTTGGTGGTATGTTATGCCCCGTGGACCAAAAAAGTTAAAAGTAGTTGGTGATATCTACTAAGCAATGACATTCATCTTGTCCCTGCAGTTTGCCTATGTTTCTGCATGTTGTTTTTCTCTTATCGCCCTTAGCTCTCAGCTATAGAGTTTTTTTTAAAAAAAAAGAAAAGCATTTCAGTTTGGGACAGTGTTTAACTGACAACAGACAACATGGGACTGTTCTATTACTCTTGTCTGATTATCATCTTTTCAATGATCAGGACATACAAGAATTACTTGCGGCATGGAAGCTTTATTTTGATGCTTCCTCTTGCATTTTCATTTATGCGCCTTCAAACAATCGTCAACTGTTTTTTGATGGAGAAAGACCATATGTCAGCTGTCAGCATCATGCTGTTCGACATGTTCCTTTGACCGTCAGAAGGCCTACCTTTAAGGAAGCCCGGCGAATATATAATCTATTGACACAAGTATCTTATGAAATAGATGAGGAAACCACACCTAATATAGAAGGGGAGTCAGTACTAAGTGCAAGTACTGTGAACAATGGCTGCCCAGGGTCCAGCAAAGAGGACTTGATGGATAATTTGGAAAGTAGGAAAACTGTCGAAGCATGCTCAGGTGTCAAAAAATCTGACATATCAAGTGAGAGTGAGAGTGAACTTAATGGTATTTCGACACCTTTACATGAAGCAGCAAAGTCTGGCAATGCTCAAAAAGTATTGGAACTCCTAGAACAGGGTCTGGATCCGTGCATCAAAGAGGAAAGGGGGCGGACTCCTTATGTGCTTGCAACGGATAAGGAAGTGAGGAATACATTTAGAAGGTTCATGGCTTCAAACATGGATAAGTGGGATTGGCATGCTGCAAAAGTGCCTAGTGCGTTGACAACAGAGATGGAGGAATCTCAAGCTGCTAAGCTGGTAATCTGGTGTACCTTTACTAAGATTTGACTTGTGGCTCAAGTGGTTCTGTTATATGTTTAACTTCACAATTTCATGCATTTTCGTAATCTGAATGCTCCAAGATACTGCTGAACATTCTCAACATGATGACATGCTTTACCTTCAGGAATATGTGGCATTGGCAGCTTCAAATTAGTGGTAATTGATAATCATCTTGTTTTTGCAGTGAAAGGGAATGAAACGAGAGCCACATTATGAGTCTTGTGTTGCAGGAATTTTCCAGTGTATAGGTCATAGGCCTGTAATATTGTGCTGCTTGATAAAAATGAAAGTAAAAACAGATAAAAGAAATAAAGTACCTATGCACTGCTAAGTTTTAGCTCTGATATATTCATAATAAATCTTCCTTTTTCCTGCACAGGCGGAGAAAGATGCCAAGAAGAAGGCAAGATCGAAAGAGTTGAAGAAGTTACGTAAAGCAAGAGAAAAGAAGGCTCAGGTTCTTATCTTAAATTTTAGTCCTGACGACTCTTCATAATGGAAAATTTGAGGCCTCCCTCCTAACCATTCCAATTGTCTTTTATTCTTCGTTTGTCTAGCACCCTTTTTCTATGAGCAAAGATCTATCCTTTATCTGTCAAAATTTGGTCTTCCATCTTTAACAACCTTGTTACATCAATCTGCAGGCACAGGCTACTCAATCCCAGAATGATTCATCCACTTCAACTCTAGCTCTTAAAGGAAAATCTCAATCTAGTGGTGCAACACAGATGTCGAAAGAGGTTAGTTTTATCTGTTAGCCTAGTAATGCTCAATTTCTTTTATTGCGTGACTTTGAAATGTGTCAAAGCATAATAGTTTGGAGTTTTGGAGGTCAATGGCTTTTATCACCTTCATATAAGCTTATTGCATGTCTTAGCATTGCAGAAATGTGCTTGTATGACCACCCTTTTTTTAAAAATCTTTTTCAATGTCAGTTTTAGATTGGCCCACCATGACTATTTAAAGCACAAAAATCTAAGCTATTTATCTCTTAACTCAATCAGGAGGAATTGAAACACGCACAAGCGGTAGAGAGGGAAAAGAGAGCTGCTGCTGCTGAGAGGAGAATGGCAGCAGCTGCTGTCCTTAATTGTCAAGGCCTTGGAACAACTGCTGCTCCAAGCAGTTCACAGATAAAAGGCACGGTAACAACTGACATTAAGTGTTCCTCTTGCAATGTGTCATTACTCGGTAAAGTTCCCTTTCATAGGTACAACTATAAATACTGCAGCACTTCATGCATGCATGGTCATAGAGAGAGTCTTGAGGATGGATAACAAACAAACTTTCAATTTTCCGTTTGTTTTTGAACTTTATTAATAGTTACTGTTGCAAAGTGACCTTTGTACCTATTTATTTCTATTACATTGTTCCTATTTTTTGAATTTTTGGGTAAAAAATTTTCTTCACAAGATGAATATATAGCTGGACACTATGTTGAACGTATCAGATAGTACTTATGTGTGAATACCGTTTGCTTTCTTTATCTATTTTTCCAATATTGTTCTCTCAGTAGTGGGCTGTGCGTTCAATTACTTATCTCAATCTTGTGTTAAGTAATTGCATATTTGATTGAAGGGTAATTCTTAGAGGTGGTTTAGTGGTCAAGTTTGTCCTCTTATAAATAAAGAGGTCTCAAGTTCGATGCTTTCCACATCCTTTAAGGGCCGGCCACCCTTGTAACTTAGGGAACATATCCTTAAATTAGCTCAAGTTATGGTGGCCGGCTTAGAGGTTAAGGGAGTAGTTGACGCAAGTGTAGACACTATTTAGTTAAAAAAAAATATTGATGGGTGGATTGGGCGCGTCTTCTGTGTTTGGGCGTCTGCATTCATTCATCTGTGCCAATGTCACTGGGTTTTTTTGTGTCTCTGTTATGCGTCGGTCGCATGAATGGTTGCTTTTGTTCGGGTTCTTTGGATTGGAATGATAAAATGAAGAACATTTATATCCTAGCATATAATACCCAATTATACAAAATGGTAGGGGATATCTACAGGGGCGGCCCGACATATGTGGGGGCTTTCGACGTTTTAAATTAGGTTCTATTAATATATTTTATAGGAGTGTAAATACTAATAATAATAAATATCAAAAATTGTTTATGTTTTTTGAACTTTTTTTTTTTTGCATTTGCCTTTCGAGATTCATGAATCTTAATTGAATTTTTGAATTCGATTTTATACATTAAAATTCAATTAACAAAACGTCAACTCCTCAACTAAATGTAATTAAGTTAGTTATTTATTGAAGATAAAGAGAAAGAGAATGAAAATTTAGACTTGCTAACAAAATAGTTTTTTTTTTTAAAATGTAAAAGTTAAAATTTGTGAGTTAAATGATATTGGAATATGTGGAATATGTTTTAATATAGCAAAGAATCAAATAAATGTTTTAACAAGAAAATTAGTTGGACAATTATGGTTACAATTAATTTTAGATATTTCTATACAATATATTTTATAGTCATATTGTGTGTTTTATAAAAATAATTAAATCATAAATTTGAAGTGATCTAAAATTTAATCTAAGTAAAATATAAATTTACTAGTTATAACTCGTGTCTGAACACACGATAGAACAAAAAATTCGAGTTCTAAAAAATCGATATCACTATATTAAATAATAATTTTTCTTTCCTTCATTTATTTGATTAAATCATTCAAAATTTATTTTTACCCATTATTTTTTTGAAGATATTGACAAATTTTTCACAAAATATGTAATTCAATAAATTTTTTTAACAGATTTATACTATCGTATATGAATAATATCTGAAATAAAAACTATGTTAAATTACAAATTAATCAAATATTAAATGGTTGAGCATGTGATAGAAATGAGTAATGTGATGATTTTTTTTTTTTCGGAATTTATAGGAGATAAAATTTAACTTCTTATGTGTTTTATTATATATATTTGTATAAATATAAGAAAATTTCATCCAAATCTCCTGTAATTATGTTTAAATTTAATGACACTTCCTTTCGATTTTGAAATTTCACTATTACTCTCTGTTAATGATTGTCGGGTTACACCGTTAATGGCGATGGTTAATTTATAAAAATATCTTCGACTATTTTATAGAGTAAATTTTATCCACACTCCTTATAAAATAAACCTAACTTTAACACCACCCCCTTTAAATAGATTCAACTTTAACAACACCCTCTCTTGATTCTGAAATTTCAATGCACTCTCTTTTAGTTCTATTATACTAACTTTTATTTTGATCAATTTAATATTTAATTTTATCAAATTAATTTTCTTTATTTAATTTTATCAAATTAGCATTTAGTTATATTAATTTAATATTTCATTTTATCAAATTAATATTCTATTGTATCATTTATTGAAATAAAATTAAAATTAAAAATTTATTTTTTTCTTAAAAAATCATAATTAGTATACAATTATACTATCTATTGAAATAAAACAAAAAAATTAAACAAGGGGTCTAACTCATTCATAATAGAACATGAATTTTACATTTAAAATTCATATTCTATGATTTCATTTATTGAAATAAAATCAAAAATAAAAGTCTAGTTTTTTTAAAAAAATCATAGTTAGTATATATATTATCTATTAGAATAAAACTAAAAAAATTAAACAAAGTGTCAAACTGTAATAGACACAATATCTTTTAACTTTAATTGAGGTAGTTTAGTATTTAATTTGGTTGTTTAAATGACTAAATTAAATTTTAATAGACAATATAATTGTAAACTAATTATACTTTTTTAAGAAAAAAATTAAATTTTTATTTTTGATTTTATTTCAATAAATGATATAATAGAACATAAATTTTGGTCGTAAAATTTAAAATATTTGATATTTTATCTTTAATTGGAATATTTTTTGTCTAAATATAATATTTTAAATTTAAGGGGTCTAAGTATTATATACTTATAAACTTTAGAGGGTCTAAATATAATTTATTAAATGATATATTTATGCGAACAAAATTTAGGGAGTCTATGTGTAATATTTTAAATATCAGGGAGTTTGAGTGATTAAGTAACAAACCTTAGGGTGTCTTGGTGTAATTCTCTTTTTTTTAAATTGTTTTTCTTTAAATTTGAAATATTTTTAATTTGTTAAAAATTATGGTGGGCCATTGAATTGGAATAGCAGGCCTCCAATTGGACTGCCTTGTGGACATTTAATGGATCAGCCAGTCGGATCTAGTAGGCAAGCCCGCATTGCCCATTGCCCCAAGTGTTTTAAAACCTGGAACAGTATGACGGGTTGACCCGATAAATCAGAACTTGAACTAGATCGTTTGGGCAAGTAACCAGACAAAATTCGATAAACAGGCCGGTTATGTAACAAAATCTTTGAACCAGACAATTTGATTCAAAAGGTATAAAAAGAACTGTCTAGGTCATTTTTGCCTAAATTTTTTTTTTTTTTTGGAGAATTATACTCAGACTCTTTGAGTTTTATCATTTAATCACTCAGATCCCCTGATATTTGAAATATTATACAAAGACTCCTAAAATTTATACACACGTAACATTTAGACCTCACAGTGAGTATATTAGTTAGTAAATTACACTAGACCCTCTAAAATTTGTAGACGTATAATACTTAGATTTCTCAAGTTTAAAATATTATATCCAATATTTTAAATTTTATAATCAAAATTCATATTATATTGTATCATTTATTGAAATAAAATCAAAAATAAAAATTCAATTTTTTCTTAAAAAATTATAATTAGTATACAATTATATTATCTATTAGAATAAAAAAAAAAATTAAATAAGGGGTCTAAATCATTCATAATAGAATATGAATTTTACAACCAAAATTCATGTTCTATTATTGCATTTATTGAAATAAAATCAAAAATCAAAATTTAATTTTTTTCTTAAAAAAACATAATTAGTATACAATTATACTATCTATTAGAATAAAATTAAAAAATCAAATAAGGTGGGTAAAACTGTAATGAACACAATATCTTCTAATTTTAATTGCGATAATTTGGTAATTTAATTTGGTCATTTAAACAACCAATTAAATTCTAATAGATAGTATAATTGTATAATAATTATGATTTTTTTTAAAAAAAATTTTTTTTGATTTTATTTCAGTAAATGTAATAATAGAACAAGAATTTTGGTTGTAAAATTTAAAATATTTGATATTTTATTTTTGATTGGAATATTTTTTATCTAAGTATAACATTTTAAACTTGAGGGGTCTAAGTATTACATGCCTACAAACTTTAGGGAGTTTGGGTGTAATTTGTTAATGTATATATTAACGACAGAGTCTAAGTGTTATGCGCGTAAAAATCTTAAAAGGTATGTGTAATATTTCAAATATTAAAGGATTTTAGTGATTAAATGACAAATTTTAAAGGATCTAAATATAATTTTTTGTTTTTCTACCTGTTTCTTTTATGCTTTGACGAGGTGATTGGTCACCCCACTCAGGGCTGGAGCCACCTTATGTCCAAGGTCACGTGCCCACCCTCAAATTTTTTTTTTAAAATTATTTATATATATTTTAAGCATTTTTTTAATATATTAAATTGTGCTCACACTATTTTTTAATCAAAACCAAAAAAAAAGTATGATATATTCATGAGTCTACTTATAATTTTAACATTTATTTTAGTAATTATTACTTATATGATACAGAATATATTTTATTATGTAATCGAATGAATAATAAATAATTAAGTAATAATATGATTGTGAATATAAATAATAATAAAATTAATGCAAGACTTTCGACGTATAAAAATTCATCGAAATCAATTTTAAATAATTTTGATTAGGCTTTATTTGGTAAAAAAATATAATTAGCCTTTTTTTGTCATTTGTATCTACTATGCTTAGTAATTTTAGTCTTTTAAGTTTAATTAACTTTTAAGAATTAAATAAGATATAATTAAATATAAATGTATTAATCTATTTTTGTCAATTACAAGAAAAAAAATTACGTTTGTTAAAATATACGGTGAACAATTTTCTAGCTTCGCCCTAACCCCTCTCTCTCTCTCTCTCTCTCTCTCTCACAGGACAATAGCACACACTCAATCGAAGACTCGAACTGCTCAGATTCTTCGACTCAACTCTTAGGCTCAGATTCTTCGACTACAGCAGATATTCAACTCACAGGTATTACCTTTTTATCTCTCTCTCTCTCTCTCTCCGTTAGTCTGCTTTTGCTATTTTCAGCACAATAGCGCACATTCAATTGAAGATTCGAAGTGCTCAAATTCTTCGACTACAACAGATATTCAGCTCAAGCCTTTATGGGACAGCTATGCAATGGGCCTCGTCACTCTTGGAAGCTACTAGCGACATAATTTGTTCATTAGAGATCATGGGCAAAGTTGCGATGACTGCGTGGACAATCTGGAAAGGGAGGAATCAAATGGTTTTCATTCAAGAAGAACCCAATGCTCT